GGGGGCCTCGGCCTCGATGGGACGTTGTGGCGTTGCCCGCTTACGTGTATGCTTTCGTGAATGAATTTGCATATGCAACTGAGCACCTTGACGGTTTGTGCCCCGGCAAGCCTCTCAAGATATAGCTTTCCGTGACTAGACCAGTCGTTATTCGTGCGCGATTTTACTTCCCAGCTTTCTCGCTATGCTTACCGAAGAAGCCTTGTCAGCCGTGACGTATTGCATGTTGCAGGCGAACTCCCACATCGTTTGTGTTTGGGGTAAAGAGGAGGGAGTCACGATAATGCGGCGATGCTGTCGACAATGATTTTCTTCAGGTGGCCTGCGCATGGCCACTAGCAAAGCCTGTGTAAGACTCTCGTTAAGCCATTCCGCGCTTCGAATTATCTTGGCCGTTTGTACATATACGCAATATATGCTTCTGCAAAGACGAACACGTTTAATCTATTGTGTTAGACTTTCCCGAGGGCCGCAAAAGCTTTATATACCCAAGGCGAGGAGGGCGCGCTCTCCTTGCTGGAGGCGGGCCGCAACAGCTTGTGAGCAAGTTCTCGGTCCAAACCTCTGGCTCTGATGCTTCTGGGATTCTTTTGTCATCTTGATCCTGTACATCTATCCCCCACTCATTGGGCAGCCAGGGAAGATGATGCTCTCGGGAGTCCCGCAGGCCCTCCGAGCTACCAGCCCAGCGTCGACACAGCTCGATTTGGGTAAGAACGACCTCGGAAAGTCCGCCTTCGCGCTGGCCAGGGAACTCCGTTACGGGGAGGCGGGGCCTTCCGCGGCGATGCAGAAGAGAGATCCCGACATTGTTTCTTCTGCCGCCACACTTCTTCTCTCTCTTCTGCGTCCCTGTTTGCAATCAGGTGAAAGGCCGGGTCGCTCATCCGGTGGTGGAGTTCTTGGCCGAGTTGAAGGCTCGCGCTATTTCTTCGAAGTGTGGTAAGTTTTTCATTTTTCTGGGGTCCGCCGAAAGTAGTGCTGAGGGTTGTTGCCCGTCGGCCATGCCTCTGCCAGGGATCTCAGCGAGGAGCCTTGGGGCAAAGTATCTTCCAAAGAGCCGGAATTCCCAACCCTGGAAATCGGAAGCCCTTCCAACCCGAGCCACCTTTGCTCGGCACGCCCGCTCGTTTCCCTGTGCGTCACGGGATCTTCGGGCAGTGCCCGGAGAGCCACGCCCGCCGCCGCCCGCGCAGGACTTTGAATTCGAAAAGCTCGAGGAAGCGCCGCAGAAGCTGAAGCTCCGCGACTACAGCCGGCGGCTCAGCTCCGGAGCCGAGGCACCGCCCACGGCCCGCGTGCGCTGCCTTCCGAGGCCGAGGCGCCGAGAGGTTCCGGCGGCTCTTCGGACCGCTCTGCCGGGCGCTGCCGACGCTCCCGGAGCCGCTGCGAGAGCTGGACCTCGACCTCGGCGGCCACGGCGACGCCTTCGGCCCCGGCCCCGGCGCCTTTCGGAGCGCGTTTCGCAGAGCTCCTCTCCTCTTCTTTCCGCCTTCGGCAGGCGCTGCCGGGGCCCGGGCCCTGGCCGCGGGCCTCCGGCACCAAAAGGAGCTGCAGATGCTGTGGTTGTATCTGGGTAACAACTTTGTGGGTCGGGGGCCTCAGCTTTCGCTCCTCCGTTGTCCTTTTTGTTTTGTGGCTCTTGTCGGCGGGTCCGCAAGCCGACCCCAGCCATTGCTCCGTTTCTGTGCTTACGAGCTTCTGCTTTCCACTATCAAACTGCACCCGAACGGACTCGACTCGCCGTGAGTTGCAGCAGAGTCTTGGATTGCCGCGGCGGCTCCCGTGAGACGTCGTCCGAAAACCCTTCTGCCGAGATGCCCGTGCCCGTGCCCCTTTCGGGAGGGCCGCAATTTGCCTCGCGACTCTTGCCAGCTGAAGGGGGCGCGCCCCCGGGCACCGAGGCGAGGAGGGCACAGAGGCCTTGGCCTCCGCCCTCCGCGAGCTGACGCAGTTGAAGACGCTCGTGTTGAGCCTGGACGCAAACAACATCGGCCCGGGGCCTCGGAGGGAGTCGAAGCCACATTGCCGCTTTACCCGGCGGGCCGATATCGGGAGATACCGTACATCCCTTCTTGGAGTTTGATCTTCATCCAAGCCTTGCATTGTCTACACTCGCAGATTCTTAGCTGGCCCCTGTCTCCCGGCCGAGGCGTTGCCGGCGCCACCTCACTGGTGGAGAGCCTCTCTGAGCTGCAGCAGCTTACATACCTCCTAGTTGATCTGCAAATCAACCGGCTCAGCCCGGGCCTCGGGCGAGATGAAGCGGCATCTTCCGCCTTGCCACTCGCAAACCCCACCGGCCCAGGCGAGGAGGGCGAGGAGAAGCTCCGGGCCGCCTTGAACGCCCTCCCGGTGGCCGAGAAGAAGATCCTCCTTTGATCCGAGGCCCGGCCGGGGCCGTGTGGTCGTGGCTTCTGAGAGAAAGCTCGGGGATCTTCGACTCTCCCGGCTGGGAGGCCTTGGCCTCGGCGCGCTGGTGGTGGGTGGCCTTTCTCCGGAGCACTTCGATTCTGCTGCCTGCTGCCGAAAAAGCAGAGGTCGCTGCTCGCCGTGCTGGAGTCCGAGCATTCGCAGTCTTGCTTCGGAGTTGGTCTTGGGTCTTCGCCGGTTTGGGACCCTTGAGCCATTCGGTGTCTTGCATCCGAAGCTGAAGAGACGCTCCGCCGAACCTGCCTTGCATTCTCATGGTCTCGTGCGGCTCAAGTGCTGTCACAAGGCATCTAAGCCAGCCCTATAAGGCTCGGAAAGTCGATCATCTGAACGTCTGTGCCCTGCACGATCCAGTTGAGCCCAGGAGGAGCTTCGGTTAGACCCCTATATTTTTTGTTCAAGAGGGACCCTCAAACACCGAGCAAGTCACTCACATGCGAATCCCCAAACTTCGTGCTGCTCGAACTCCCAACTGTTAGGCTTAGTGCTTGATGCGATTTCCAAACGAACTGAATCAAAGAGCTGGTGCAGAAATCTGGAAGTCAAATCGTGACATGCTGTACCAATCCCCAACCCAAAGGCTATCATCGGGGGTGCCCTGGACATTGCATTGTTCTTCCCAGCATATGGGCTGCGGAGCGAGCAGCCAGAGCAAGTATGCCGGGCACTGTGGGGGCCAAACGGGTTGAGCATCTGACAGGTCCCTGGAAGTGCTGAACACTCATGTCTGATTCTTGCCTAGGGCCTAAGATCGGGAAGTTGGTGTTGACTTTTCTGAGCGCACAACCCCCTATTTTCTAGCACTTCTTGATCCCTGCTGCGGCTTAATGCAGAAAGCTTGGGTTGCAATGGCTGCAAGGCTAGGCTGTTGACGCATACAGCTTCTTTTGGGTTTATCGAGGCGGGACTTTCGGGTTCAGGGTGTGAGGGGCTGAGGGCATTGGGGAGTTTCAGTGGAGTTTCGCAGCCGTGCGCCCGTGTGCCGCAGACAAACTCGTTTTCCGCCCAAAAGTGGCGATTCAGATCACCTTTTCTGGTGATCCCACTTCTCTCCGTCAGTTCCCTGCCGCGCCTCTCGGCTTATGTTTTTTGATTGAGCGAGGGTCTTAGATTAGAACACCCTTAGAAGTTGGAAGCTCTCGCATGCGCACTGCTCAGCCATAACATTCCAGGTGTCGGCACGTCTGTCAGCGAGTTCGGAACAAGGAATTTCACAGTTTTTAAACACGCCTAGTTCCGAACTGTCGTTTTAGCCGCGTCTTTTGCGTTCCTGCACCCGTAACACCAGTCGTGCTGTATCATCCCCAAAGGCAGAGAGGCCCTGAAGCCGAAAAGCCACAAGCCGCTCCGCTCGCTTTCTGTTCTCCAGCACTCGCCAACCTAAGCCGCCAGTCCAATAAAGACCCAGAGGCCCGAAGCCGTAGAATCCGTGAGCACCTAAATCCGCGAGAGTTCTCGTGCACCCTACCGGCCCCGGCAAGACAAAAAAGCCGGTGTCTCCCAGGCCATGAGTGCCGCAGAAGTTGCCGTGCTTGAGGGGAGCGAGCCGATCCTTCGTCTGGATTTAGGGCGTCTGGTACCAGTCTAAATGCATGAGGCTTCAAGCAGGACTCGCACTGCGAATTGAGATAGTCTGTACACAGGTTGGGGATCAATCTGGCGAAGTAGTAAGGGTTTACACAGTGGTGTTTAGGCCAATGTAGGGTTTGTGTTTGAGTCTCCGATGCATAACTGACAATTCAAGCTTCATCCGTCTAACATCTAGAACACCTGTGTGCATAGGCCCATTTGTGATGAGCCCAAAGCCTCGCAACCAAATCTGCAGCCCACCGAGGTCTATGGCAAGGGTCGCCAGTCCCACCTCGGTAGCCGGGGCGGCCTGCGCCGGTGACAAGGTGGGCTTCTGATTTGTTTGGCACATGTACGAGTTTGGGAAACTCCGGTATTTCTGTTCTTGTTTTGGCTGGTTAGGCATAGTAGGGCTGTTGCTTTACAGAGCTTCGGAAAGACAGAGACCAGACTTGACGAGGGTTCAATGCCTTATGTGGCTCCGACTTGAAGGGATGTGGCAATCCAGGCTTATGGCTTAGACAGGACCAAACCTTGGCTTTGATGGCCTTTGCAAGACTGTTAGGACCGAATGTGTTGGTTGTTCAGATGTACTTGTCGAAAAGGTCAAAAGGGTGCAGACCTCTTAGAGCTCTTCGGGTGTTCATGTTCTCAAGTTTGTTGAAGGCGCTCCTCGGCGATTTGCATGAGCCAGGAAGGCTTGAACAGACGCAGTTCCGGTCAGCTCTAATACATCAGCGGGACAGCAGTTTCGACATGCGGATGGGAACTGTTCAGTTCACCATGAACATGTGCCGCGGAGAAGCGGAGTGGCCGCAGGTCCGTGTTATATGGCCAGCGTGGCGGAGTAGTGAATTTCCTGGAATAGAACTATACTACTACATAGTTCTCGACGGGAGCCTGGGGGATCTTGTGTGAGGACTACTATCTAGTTCGACGGAGAGCCTGTGGGATTTGTCAGATGCCGACAGCCCATGCAGTAAGTTTTTACCATGCAGGTCGTGCAAGGCGCTGTGACAACCACACGCCGCACGATGAAGATCGCAGGTGGGCTGTACGCAGAGCACCAGAGATGTGATTCTTCTGTGGGTATGATTAAGAGAACATGGGCCGGGTAAGCACGCCCTAGACGGTATCCTGGTAATCCGAATTCCAACCAGCACGTACTGCATTCCAGTATGCTTCCCGTTCAGACCCTCAATTTGTGGCTTGAGCAATCCCTGTCCGATCCTTTTATGCGGACTACACAAGACCAAGAACTGAGAGAAGCTCCGCCAGCTAAAGAAGCAGATGTTACATGAAGGAGTGTTGCCCGAAACCCAACTCCAGTGATCTCCTAGCGAGGGCATTCCGCCTGTCGCACATGGTCGTACTGAGAAGAGGCAACATAGCATTATTCCATGCCATAGGGTTCCTTCTTAAATTCTGTTTTAACCCATCACCCCAACAAAACCCTGTTCCAAACATTAAGGCCCCTAACATTTATGTATATAACAAAATTACGTAGCAAATAGTTGTAACTGTACTACAATGTCTCCCACATCCCCAATCTAAGCATGATGGCGCTTGAAGTAACATTCTGTGCTTTGTCAGGTCTGGCCCATATTTGAAACCCCCAACCTTAAACCCTAACCCTAAACCCTACATTGATTTTCTGTGCCTTTGTCAGGTCTTGCCCTCTTCGCTCTGGCCTTTGCCTTTGCATTCTTCGGCCCCTCGGTTAAAGAGTTCGACTCCCTTCGATAAATTTCGGGCTTCTTGGTTGCGATTAGGTCTGCTTCGGCTTAGGCTTTCCCTCGAGAAACTTTGGGCAGGTTTCGGTTTCTTAGTTACGTTTGTGGCTACTTGGGGCTTTGGTTGATGCGGCACAGTGGCGACTAACTAGGCTCTTGGAAAGGGCCTCAGCAGAAGAGAAGGTAGCCCTAAAATCTAACTTTTGGGGTGCTAATCCAGGACGTAAGGGACACATCTCTATGCCTTGATGGTACTGCATGACTTGGTTTCGAGTTTGCGGATTCTGCATGTGACATGTTCAATCTGGCCCACGGAGTTCTCAGTTGTGACCAAATCCAAAGTCAGAGGGCAAAGTTCACCTGAAGCAAATCTCGAGCCCTTACTTCACAACATTCCGGTAAAAACGATGCGAATTGTCGTAGCTCTAGGAACAAATCTTTCCGACGGCGATTGGTGAAAGATTGCGCTCTGCTTATTGATCGTCGGGGGCTACGCTCTGCTCATTGATCGTAGTGAGCTATGCCCACTTGTCTTGTCTTCGCCCGTCGTTCAGAGCTACTCGAATGTGAACCTGAACATGAAATCATCACACTTGGAACAGCCTAATCCAAAAGGCTTCAATCCTGTTCCTCATCAGTGTTGGTCAATAGGCTTTATGATATAGGCCCTAAACCCTAAACCCTTTAGGTGGGTGCTTGCTGGGGGGTTTACAGGGTTTCGGGATCCCCTCCCAGGTTGGCCCACGAACCTCTTGGAGGATGCAGCCACGCACCGGAGGCACGCAGGATACTTTGGGTGATTGATGGGATCCGGGGTATGAAGGTTTGTAGACCTCATCGGGTTATTTCTCGGCCTTCAGAGGGGGTGTAGACACCACCCTAGGGTTTTAGTGGTATGCATGTCTAGGTGTTGTGTCAGACAGTCGTGGAGTCGCGCAGGCGCAAAGATGTTAACCTCGCCCAACGCCTCCCAGCACTCGCCCAAGTCCTGAGGGTCCTAGCAGCACTCTTCATCACCGGCATCACGCTCGTGGCGCTGGAGGACTGTTAAACTCTCGATCAGTCTGTGGGTGATGGTGGGTGTACCGGGGTCTTGTCATGTATGTTACGGGCCTGGTCAGGTTGTGCATATGGTTTGTTTGCAAAGTTGTTGCAGGTGTGCTAGGGTCCCTGGGTCCTGCGTATAGTCCGCCCGAGCGTCAGGTTTTGCAGGAGAAGAACGGTTTGGGCTTAGGATTGTACCTTCGATAGCACCGTTGCTGACGTAATGTATCTCAAAAGTCAACCTTCTGGGACACGGCATGTTTGCAAGATGCAGAAACAAGCAAGCAGAGTTTCAGACAAACCATGTCAATGTCAGAATCTTGTTTTTCATCCAGCGAAGGAAAAGCTCCGTCAAGTAACACTGAATCACATAGCGACCGAGCAGTACATTACGATGGAACAGGACTCACTGAAACGCCCAACGGGCCAGCAATGCAGCAGCTAAGTATATAAGATTTATGGGATCGCAAAGTTAAGCAACTGGTACGTACTAGGCAGTACTAGGTAGGCAGAAGTATCACTTGGCATATCTTTACGCAGGTTTGGAAGCAACTTAGGTCTTTGAGGAATAAACTTGCCTCTAGAATGATTGAAGCTCAATTTTCAAGGAGCCTTGTCAGCAGTACCTCGTCGGATGTTCCCTGTCTGGGAGGATGTTCTGCGACTGGACAAGTCGGCGATCATGCTTGTCTTGGCTTCCGTGCCCCTTGACTGGGGCTTTGTGGATTGAAGATTCTTACCTAGACCGCCTAAACCCTGTTCATGCTATACCTAAACTCTTAACCAGGAGTGAAATGCAGCTAGTACCTTCGGGTTTGAGGGATGGTGAGCTCAGAGCGATTCAAGTTTAGCCTGAGTATTATCAGCTGTTGCGAATGCCCATACCTTCAGGGGAACATAAGGAAAGCTATGTTGTTCTGAACCCTGGCCATACCTTCTCGTTTGCATCTCCAAAGATCCCCTTCAAGGATGTGGACGTACCATGCGGCGGGCATTCATGCCAGATCTGCAGAAGGCAGCTACCTCTTTCACGTGTTCGGGTTCAGCATTAAAGCTCCAAGGCCTTGTGTCTCTCAAGATGGAAAGTGCCGATGCGTGTTCATGGTGGGTCTAGACGCGACTGATTGCCGGGCTGCGAGAGGGTTCTGCACTGTGACACGGCAGACCGACATTCTGCCCTTCCTGCTCTGTTCGCGCAAGCAACTGTACTTCTATAACTCGAAGCCCCAAACACCGCAAGCTCTGGGTTCCAAGGATCTGAAAGCCAATCGTGTCTTCACCAAAGCCCGGAGCCCTCACTGAGCACTCTAGGCCTTAAGCTCCTGACATGACATGGAAACCAGAGGGCCGAAACCTGCCCCAAAAACTCTGCGAATAATTCTCCAGTAATCCTCCTCTAGGACCACCCTAAACCCTAAACCCTAAAGCCTGAACGTCAAATCCTACATCCTAAGCCTCAAAAAATTTCACACCCAAATTTTGTGAATCTCTCCTCATTAGGACAACCCGAAACCCTAAACCAAAAAACCCTAACTAAATCCTGTCACCCGAAGACTCTCTGAGTCTCTCCTCGTAGGACACGAGCTCCTCGAGGAGGAACTGATGAAAGGACTCTTCGAGGACCCGAGAGTGAAAGCTGGGTTCAGGGTGGTGGGTGCTGGGTGCTCCCTCATCACACCCTTAAAACCCTACAACCGAGTTTGGGCGGGTGCAAGATTTCAGTTATTGGGTTTTTTCACATTTCTTGGTTTAGGGTTTTGGACTTCGCTGTCGGTTTTAGAGAGTTTTTGGGGTGTCAAGTTGGCAGGAATTGCAGGGATTGGGCATTGTGGGCTTCCAAACGCAGGTTTGACCTTGTTTCCATGATTGGGTGAGGCTGTCCGCACAACATCTTGCAAAGGTCCAGGTGCGCAAGCCTTGCACAAGTCTGGTACGATGTCTCTCTCGACATCTGCCCTATCACGGTTTCTGAGCCTCAAACCCTGTCCCTACAAAAGAAGTCAGAAATCTTGAGCAGGTCGGCAGCGTCATCTTGTTTCTGTTGCCTGCCATGTGCGTGGTGGAGTCCATCGATCACATGTGCCCTGAGCAAGATTTAAGATGCGGTAGAGCCGGGCTTGCGGGAGAAGGTCCTGTGCCATATCTCCTATTACTCCTATTGCCATGAATCCTCTGCTTAATTAGTCGAAGCCAGACTACCCGAACCTCTTCCTGGAGTTTTGGAAGGGTTCCGGTTTGGGGTTTAGGGTTTGGTTTGGGGTCCCAAGCCGTGCGGGCGCCTGGTCTCTCCGAACCCACGCAGAAACCGTGTTTAAGTCTGCGAGCTTCAGCAACTGCAGGGCCCTTCTAGAACAGACCCCAAAGCACACAAAGCTGATGTAGGTAGACGGCTAGCGTAGAAGCCTCCGTAATCCGAGTCCAACTATTCAGGGATTGGACCAGACAATCCTCCGAGTATTGAAAGACCACGCAGACTGGCAAAGACTCAAGGAATGGCTTCGCAGTTGTCACGGCGTTCATCGTTCGCCAGACGCAGGAGAAGGCCTGTAGCGACGGAAGCAACTAGTTGTGCACGTTATAGAAGCCGGAATGGTGACCAATACTATTTCTTACTTGGGCTTCTCCGTCATCATGTTTAAAAATTTGAGCATATACTCATAATTCACCAAATTCAAAACCCCATTCTAGTTCTTAAGGCCCTTATATTACATAATCTGGGGAGTTTCAGTTGGAGTTCTGGGCTGGTCGGAGCTGATTGGGAGTTTATGGATGCCAAGAAGTGGAAAGAGGAGTCATGACCACCGCAAGCCCCAAACCCCAGACCCTCAATCCCCCTAAACCCTAAACCCAAAGCCAAACTGTCCGTCTCATGAACTGTATGGGGAAGGGACCCTCTCCGCAGACCTGACCCCCCCAGAGGCCGGGCGGCTGATGCCCATCGTCATCATATCGCATTCTTCCTGGAAGTGAAGCGTTGGTCCGTGAGCCCGAACAGCCCCAGAAGGCACGGCGAGGCTCTGAGCTCTTGCGCCATCAGCTCTAAACCGTTCAGAGTGATGATCGCGAGTCGTAATATGACGCGTGACGCATAGCATACGCCCCTTAAAACCAAAGCAGCCCCTGTAAGACCCTTATGGGAGCCGGAATAGGAACCCCTTGGTGGGAAACCTTGAGTCTAATTAGCCCTGATGGTAGGAAACCCCTGGCCAGGTGATCGACAATCTCACTGCCACCATCGTCTGCATCAAGATTCTGCAGCGGGCGGTGCCCCACAACCAGGACGCCCGAACCCTAAACCCCGAACCCCGAAACCCCAAGACCCTAAAACCCCAAAGCGGAAGAGCTTAAAGCCCTACCAGATACCGGATCCTACGCCTAAACCCCACTGCAAAACTCAGCAAAGTCGCTGAACACAGCGGTGAATGCAGGTGTCCTCTGCACGCCCAAACCAAATTCCAAGGGGTTCTTCTCAGAAAGACACAATGCACTTCGACAGCGATTGTTATACTCCATGCTGCGGCAAACCCTGGTTTTATTCGCAGAAAACCCCCACACAAATTTCAGACGAGGTCTGAGCCTTTCATATCCGAAAAATAGAAAGTACGGCCCTGACCCACCTGACCCTTAAACGGAGCTGACATGCTATCTTAGAGTGGATCGTCCCCTAAAATTCGCAATTTGCGCCGGGGCAAATCAGCTATCCCCACCTGGCGGGCATTCTGAGCCATCGGGCAACCTCAGAGTCATATTTCATTACTTTAGCTGCTCTCCTCTCTAGCCGCGCTCTTCCCGATGCCTCGCCCTTGTCAAAGCATCCTGGGCTTTCCCACACAAACCTCGGCCCAGGCTTGGAAGAGAAGAAGCAGCTCCGGGCCGCCTTCGATGCCCTGCCGGTAGGCGCGAAGGAGATCCTCCTTTTGGTGATCCGAGGCACTCAGATAACTTACACACTCAAGCCGCGGCGATGATACCTTTCGTCGTCGCTCGGCACTACACGCTACGCGTTTCGCCCACTTGGGGCTCCTCAGGCTGTGCCTCGTGACTAAAAGGCTTAGAAGGTATCGCGCATCAAGCTACAATCAGTAGCATGAGAACGCAACACTCCAGACCAATCGTAGTGCATAGGTTTGTTAAAAAACCTATGCACTCCTTTTGGTGATCCGAGGCCCCGGGTGCTGCTGCTCTGAATTCCTTTTGATTCAAAGAGGGGCGTCGATGTGAGAAGTGGAGGCCCCCCGGTGATCCCATCTGTGCGGCTTCTGATTCTGACGGAAGTCCGTCCGTCAGAGCTCCCCGTGATCCCATCCATGCGAGCTTAGAGTCATGCGAAAGATGCCCAAGAATCCACGTAGAGAGGGTGCGGTACCGCCGTACACAGAATCTTCCAACTTTTTGCGCTCCCCCGCTCTAGCCGAGCTCTTCCCGACTTGTTTAAAGGCGAGAAGGAGGAGGAGAAGCTCACGGAAACCCGTGCAAACCGCCTTCGGAGCGCCGCTGCCGGGTGGGCGAGAAGGACATCGGATCCGAGGCCCGGCCCGGCTCGGCCCTGTGCGGTGGACGCCGTCGTGGCTCTTTTGGGGGAGAGCTCGGGGCTGGGAGGCCAAGGGCCGCAGTTTTCCCCCGCGCCGTGCTGGAGTCCGAACATCCGATCTTGTCCGGAGTCTAGATCTCACCTTCTTCCAGCGCAGGCTCGGGCGGCAAAACGGGCTACAGTAGTAACACACATGCCAGTGAAGGTTTTTGTGGTTTTCCTTGGGGTTGTTGTGGTTTCGGACTTGAGGACTGCGGTGAGGTGCATCCATGCATTCGTATGGTCGGTTTCCCTGTGGCTCAAGCGCTTCCTAAAAATGCATGTGCAAAAAGCCCAAGAAAAGGCTGAGTAGGCCCCTGAATCAGTGAGCAAGCCTCGCATGCAGAAACCCCCGCGACACGTGAACTTCCGCAGTTTGCGCCTCCCTAACTCCAGATTCAGTCCGTGTTGAGTCAGGGACCGAAGGATCTTCCCTGTGTAGTACAACATAGAGGGACTAAGGAGGTACTGTAAAGTCACATCGTGATGTGCTGCAGCAAGTCTCAACTCAGAGCCTTTATTGGGCCTTTCTCAACATGGCGACATGCGCCGGCAGTGAGAGCAAGCCTGCCGGGCACTGTCGGGCCAAGGTTTTTCGGATTTATGCATATTGGCTGCTTCTATGCCTTTCCGACATGTTATTTTCTTCTCGATTTTGCAGTCCACTGTAGCTCAATCTTCCAGAAGCTTAGGGCTCTGATGATCTGCATTGAGATGGGTTGAGCACTGTTGGGCATCTGCGAAGTGTTTCATCGGAGCCGTGTAAGCTTGGAAGAGGTGAACATCTGTGTCAATCTCGTTGCTTAGGATCGGGAAGTTGGAATTTTGTCGTGGCACGTCACAGGTTCCTTGATGAGGCTTTTCTGAGTGATTCGGGTACTATTCGGGTGTTACACACCCTTGTGTGCTCTAGTGGAATCCTTGAAGTCGGGAAAATCCCATCTAAATACCGATGTCGAAGCCCATAAGAACCATGACTCTTGAAAAGCACCTTAACATCCTAAACTTGAACCCTCAACCTTGAAACCCCAGGCCCTCGAAGCTACTCCAAGATTCCCGAGGCGAGGCCCAGCGGCCCGCTGCTTACGGGCTTTGATCCGACCGTGCGGAGGAGATGAAAAAGGAAAACGCGTGTTTTTGGAAGGCTGCAGGGCGCTAATGGAGGACCGCAAGGGGCTTAGGCTTCAAAGAGGCCTGCGAGAATCCGTGATGCTGTAGGAATCGGGTCTGTCGTCCCGAAGCCACAGCAGGGCAAGGGTCCAAGAACTTCTTATTTGAGGCTCTTGGGTTTCGATCCCGCAGGATCTTTCGGAGCCTTCGTGGTGAAGGGCCATGCATGGACCTTGCCGGTTTCATCCGCCCAAGACGTGTTACAAAATTCACAAGCCCTAGCACGCAGAATGCTGAAGTCTCGAAGCCTCCGCAAACCTTGCCGGCGAGCCTCAAGAAGCCTGCAAGAACGTGTCAATGAATTTTTTGCATACCGTCAACACGGAGAGTGCCCTCGTGAGATTCTCGGGACGTCAGCTTGTTTTGTACGTGATTGAGGCCGGGCAGGGCCTACATGATCTCGTCCACCAACTGCCACCGTCCCAACATTCAGCCTTGTCTCAGTTTTCCCCCACCTGGGCGTGGAGCCGCCCGCACACTCCCCAGGCTTCTCCCCAAGCAGTATGACATACTGGTTTTTGCAGGGGAGAAACAGCGACAGGTTGGCCGCTTCGGCTCGCAGTGCCCCATGCCCAGTCAAGATTGACATTTGCTACCATCCACTATATTTGATAGCCGGCAACCGCTTCAAAAGAAGCCGTCGTGGCACGGAATGAAGCATCCGTCACAGCCACAGCAGATGTCATAGCTTAGTTTTCAGGGGCGGGGGCTATCTGTGTCTCCGTGGCCTCCCAACAAGGGGAAAGCCAAGGCCGGCCGAGTTCGCCAACCACCGTCTGCCGGCACGGTCTGTAGAACTCTGGTGGAAGCTCTCCATCGCTGCCCGCTCCGACTTCGAAGCGCTTGGGATACGACTTCTTCTGCACCCCAAAACGTGTTTCTGAACCTCAAAATCCGGCTTGCTGCAGGCCTTGGCCGAAGCTGCCGGGCCTCGGCCAAGCCGAAGGTCGGGGCCTCGCAAGTTCGCGGTGAGGTGTGGAGGGCTTTGGCTGTAATTTGTTCGAGGCCTTCGGTTGGACAACATCCCAGTTGGTGATCTGGGTTCTCTTTGGTGTGCATGCATCGATTCTACGCCACCTTAGCCTCGATGCATCAGCAAAACCCATGCAAAACCCCAAGGACGTGACAAGGCCAACGCGAGTATCCCGAGCTGTTCCTGCGACGATCCCCAGAAACGAACAAAGGCTCCGAAGTCTTCGTGGAGCTCACGGGCTTGTCTCCAGCTGCTCATCCTCAGGAACCAAGCTCGACCGGCTGGCTTCGGGGTGCTTCGGGCTTGCTAGGCTGCTGCGGTGCTCGTACGTGCTCGCAAACCCGGTTGCGGATTGTCCGGCTCGGGTGCGGGCTATTCGTTAGCGCAGCAGTTGGCAGTTGGTATCGAAGGCATTGGTCGGAGGCTTAACTTATGGAGGCTCGAAAGGCGCTCTGCAGGTTTACCGACTGAACACCACGGAACCCAGGCATCCAAGCTAGAGCCCCACCTGTGAATCTCCACCGCGAAGCCTTCCACCACCCCCTCTTGAGACTCTGCTTCCGGGCATCCTCCCAAAGACACTCTTCACTGACTCTCCACTGTTCCCGCAGACCGTCTCCGGCAAGGCCGAAGGCCAAAGATCGGATGGCGAGTGAGGCCCAAGGGGGCCTTTGTGGGTTCCCCTGCTCTGCGTTTCTGTCATTCTTGGGGGCAGCAGAGGGCCGATGGACTGTGAGGCGCGGGGCGAGGAGAGGCTTTGCTTGGCCGTGCAGGCGAAGGAGTACGACCTCGCGGACAAGAACGGCCTGGCAGACTTCCTCGAACAAGCTGACATCCAGCTGGTGCCACGGGCTCGAGGGCGGGTGATGCAAACACCAAACCCTACAAGTTTGAACTGGGCTGGCATCCTCTTCAGGCGGTTCAGGCAGGGTGGTGTTTGTAGCTATGTCTAGGCGACAGTTTGCATGCGGATCTCTTGGGCAGGAATCACTGATGCTCATGATTCTTCTATGACCTCGAAGCGATTCGCTGATACTTCTACTGCTCCAGCTTGCTCAGCCATCCGAGATTGTTGTTTCTTGCAATCGGTTTCTTGCATAGACTCGGGGTTGGTTGTCATAGGCTTCCATAAATGTGCGAACCCGAGAACAACAAAGCAAGCAAGGACTGTTTCTTGCCCGCTTCTCCCATGCCAGGGTGGTCCGGGCAAGCGGAGGATCTCCAAGGATGCTCTCCACGTCATCGTCAGGAACCTTAAAGGCCAGAGCCCTCCGCTGCAAGTGGGGTCTCAAATTCCTTTAGAACTCAGAAATGATCTGAAACTAACGCAGCAAGCTCATAAGGCTTAGCACATAGTTGCTCTTTCAGCTGTACCTTTCATTATGAAGCCGGCCGAAAATGAGGTAAAGGACACAGCTGGGTGGCATGTGGCGAGTCCAAACATTCCTACCAGAGACTTCTCAAGTCCAAGAGCGAAGCATTAACTGGCCCGGACTCTCCATGGACGGCGAAGCAGCCTTACAACACATGCCATATAGAGCCTTGCAGCTGCCTCGGGGTCTTGCTGGGATTCTTTTCATGTCTCCCACCGCGCTTGAGGCGACCGTTTCACCGTGGACATGCTCCAGGCAGGGACTGCACGCCTAGTATGTTGAACATTGTGCTCCGATCGACTCGGTCAGGACGTCGTGCGAGGAGTTGTCCCCGATCGTTGGCAGCTAAGAACTGCTGTGTGCTGTGGGCTTTGGGAAAGATGCTCTGTGGTGGACGCTTCCTTGTTGAGGCGAGGGGCTGCTGAGCTGTGAGGACTTGGCTCGCCGCCTCCGCCGCCCGGATCCTGCTCCGGTGCCGCAAGAGGCCGGGGGCGTGGGGGATGTGAGGGTGAGGGCGTGTGCAACTTTATCCAACATGATGTCACACAACGCCTGCGCCAGTCCAAGCGCTTCGACCTGGCGCAGAAGCAGGGGCTCGCGGACTTCCTGAAAGATGCGGACATCCGCTTGGTCCACTCCCCGGGCTGCAGTGTTGAAGTCTGCAATTTTTCTGCAGCCATCAGCCATCCGATGATGTTTTCTGTTGTGTGTGAAATTTTGCATGTGACGGATCATACCTCTGACAGTTTTGCTGTGTGAAGCAATGAAGCGTCCTGCCCAGGTGCGAGCCCACTTCATTTGGAAGCTGCAGCAGGAAGGACAGCGTCTCCCGCGGCGCCAGGAAGCGGAGTCCGCCTACGTCAAAAGCCACACGGCACTTGTCACGCACGAGGAGGTCCCACTGCAACCTGCACTCCACTCAGTTATCCCGTTGATTGTTAGCGTTTGGAGGTCCAAGCCTGGGCCGATGGCAAGGCGCCTGAAGGCACCCATATAGTCTCGCTGTCCCACTGCTGGGAGTCGAGGGAACACTGTGATCCGTACGGATACCAGGTTGCCAAGCTAGCCAAGGCTCTTACGGGAAAAGAATGGCTGTTCATCGATTATGTATCCTTGTATCAGTTCCAGCGACTCTCCCAGAAGCAGAATGTCAGCTTCGGGCGCGCGATGCGGCACATGCACGTGCTGTACTGCCATGAGAAATCAAGTACACTCCGAATCGAGTCTCTAACGCCGGAAGCTGACATCGCAGAAGCCGAGCGAAAGCAAGAATGCGTGATGATGTATCACCACCCCACCGGCCTGGTGAAGCCAGTGCCGGTCACTGAATTGGTCAAGAATAATACCCCGTATAGTGAGCGGGGCTGGTGTGCGGCTGAGAGGGAGTGGTCCAGCACAAGGGAAGCCACCAACCTGTCGCGCGAAGTAGACGCTTCGGAAGGCGAGAAGGGGGGAATCGCCCCGATGGTGCCGGAGGCATTTCGACAGAACGTAGCACACCAGCTCAAATTCACGCATTTGAAGGATGTAGAGACCGTCTGCAGATTGCAAGAGGAAGTGTACAAAGAGAAGGCAGAGATGTGCAAGAGCTTACGGCTCGTAGATTTGGGCGCGGAAGCCCTGGACATCGCCCTGTCGGGCCTCGAGCGCTACCCGGTGCTGGAGCGCCTCGACCGCAAAGCACTGCGTTAGGAGAAGCTTGAACGGGCGCTAAAGTGGCTTCCCGAGTAGACCGCTGTCACTTTCAGGAGCCTGGAGATCGTCCACTGTGAGCTCAGCCCCAAGCTCCCGCTACTGCTGAAGGCCTGTGTTTCCTTTGTGCATTTTCCGGGCGTTTCAGGCAGAAGCCAGGCGCAGCCCAACCACTTCTGATCAGGTCCTGAAGGAGAAGCAGCTTCCACAGCTCCACCTGAAGCACAACGAGCTCTTTGAGGAGGGCACCCGCCAGGTCGTTGAGGCCCGCCGCCAGTTGCCGATGCACACTGCTGGCATGGTGGCTTACGTTGAGCGGCACTTTAGGATGCATTATGGAAGGTAAAGGCTTTTGGGTGTGTGTCTGTGTGGGTACTGCGGCACGGCGATGCGCTCCAGGCCTTGGCTTTGCAGCTTGCGGCACTGAGCGTTGGCCACGACCGCATCGGCGTCGCTGGTGTCAAGGCTTTGGCAGAGGCCTTCGAGCTCTGAGATGAGCGGGATGGGAATTCAGTGACCTTCGATATACCATTGCCCGCCCAATCCCTTGCTTCACCGGAGCATTTTCAGATTGGCGAGCGCACTGCAAAGAGCTTCGGCATGCTTCGGCTCCACAATAGCCAGATGCTTCCGCGCATTCCTTGCTCTGTCAATGTGTGCAGGCAGTCAAGCAGAATCACACCCTGAAGCAGCTGAGCCTTGCGGGAGCCAATCTCGAAATTGCGGAGCCCCTTCTCGAGGCTCGCGGCTTCTGTTGTACTTGCAGCAAGCTCACCGAGACCGCCACCCACGGCATCTGAAGCTCGAGCAAAGTGCGCTGCTCACAGGCGCTCCGGGCGAGCCCGCTCCAGCTCGATCTGACGGACTGCGACTTGGGCAACGGGGTCGCCGCGGCAATGGCCAGGGCCCTCCGGACCGGCCAGGCGGGGCAACGAGAGCTCCTGACGTTTCTTGCTCCCTCTCTTTCTCTCACATCTTCGCATCTTCTGCGACTGTCGCTGTCCGCAGGTGAAGGGCACCGTCACCCACCCAGCCATGGAGTTCCTGTGCATGTTGGAGGCTGGCGCGTTAAGTTCTTCACCCCTTCGGGCCCGAACTGACCGAGGGAAGTCGACGGCAGGGCTCTTGGGGGTAAAGTGTCTTCCAAACAATCCAAAGAAGCCTGGAAACCGGAAGCCAAACAGACCACCCCCGGTGCGACCTTCCAACCATCCCTTTGCTCGGCACGCCCGCTCGTTTCCCTGCGCGTCACGGGCCACGGCCGCCGCCGCCGTGCAGGACAGAGAATTCAAAGAGCTCGAGGAAGCGCCGCAGAAGCTGGAGCTCGATCTCAGCAACTTCGGCCGGCGGCTCAGCTCCGGAGCCGAGGCACCGCCCAGACACCCACGTGCGCTGCCTTCCGAGGCCGAGGCGGAGCCGAGAGGTTCCGGCGGCTCTCTGCCGGGCGCTGCCGTGCCTCCCGGAAGCGCTCCGAGAGCTGGTGCTCGACCTCCGCTTCCACGGCGACGCCTTCGGCCCCGGCCCCGGCGCCTTTCGGAGCGCGAGCAGAGCTCCTCTCCTCTTCTTTCCGCCTTCGGCAGGCGCTGCCGGGGCCCGGGCCCTGGCCGCGGGCCTCCGGCACCAAAAGGAGCTGCAGGTGCTGTGGTTGAAGCTGAGTATCAACTCCCTGGGCCGGGGGCCTCAGCTTTCGCTCCTCCGTCGTCCTTTTTGTTTTGTGGCTCTTGTCGGCGGGGCCGCCTGGTAGGGTCCGCAAGCCGACCCCAGCCATTTCTCCAGCTTTGTACTCTCAAACTGCAGCCGAATCCAGCTCTCCATGAAGTCCCAAGCCCAGCTCATCCCAGCCTGACTCGACTCTCCGCGATTTGCAGCAGAGTCTTGGATTCCCGCAGCGGCTCCCGTGAGATGTCGTCCGAAAACCCTTCTGCCGAGATGCCCGTGCCCGTGCCCCTTTCTGGAAGGCAGCAAGTTGCCTCGCGACTTTTGCAGCTGAAGGGACGCGCCCCCGGGCACCGAGGCGAGGAGGGAGCGAAGTCCTTGGCCTCCGCCCTCCGCGAGCTGACGCAGTTGAAGACACTCGTGTTGAGCCTGAACGAGAACATGATCGGCCCGGGGCCTCGAAGAAGCCACAGTGCGCTGCTCTACCCGGAGGGCCGATATCGGGAGATACTGTAGATCCTTTCTTGGAGTTTGATCTTCATCCAAGCCTTGCATTGTCTACATTCGCAGATTCTTAGCTGGCCCCTGTCTCCCGGCCGAGGCGATGCCGGCGCCACCGCACTGCTGGAGAGTTTGCGGGAGCTGCGGCAGCTCACAAACCTCGAAGTTGAGCTGCAAAGGAACGAGCTCAGCCCGGGCCTCGGGCGAGATGAAGCGGCATCTTCCGCCTTGCCACAGAAAAACCCCACCGGCCCAGGCGGAAAGGTCCAGCAGAAGCTCCGGGCCGCCTTCGATTCACTGCCGGTGGCCAGGAAGGTGATCTACCTTTGATTGCGAGGCCCGACCGGGGCCGTGTGGTCGTGGCTTCTGAGAGAGAGCTCGGGGATCTTCGACTCTCCTGGCTGGGAGGCCTTGGCCTCGGCGCGCTGGCGGTGGGTGGCCTTTCTCCGGAGCGCTTCGATTCTGCTGCCTGCTGCCGAAAAAGCAGAGGTCGCTGCGCGCCGTGCTGGAGTCCGAGCATTCAAACTTGTCGCCCTAGCATCGCAGTCTTGCTTCGGTGTTGGTCTTGGGTCTTTGCTGGTTTGGGACCCTTGAGCCATTCGGTGTCTTGCATCCGAAGCTGAAGAGACGCTCCGCCGAACCTGCCTTGCATTCTCATGGTCTCCTGCGGCTCAAGTGCTGTCACGTGGCATCTAAACCAGCCCTATAAGGCTCAGAAAATCGATCGTCTGAATGTCTGTGCCCTGCACGATCCAGTTGAGCCCAGGAGGAGCTTCGGTTAGACCCCTATGTTTTTTGTTCAAGAGGGACCCTCAAACACCGAGCAAGTCACTCACATGCGAATCCCCAAACTTCGTGCTGCTCGAACTCCCAACTGTTAGGCTTAGTGCTTGATGCGATGTCCAAGCGAATTGAATCTATTAGCTGGTGCAGAAATCTGGAAGTCAAATCGTGACATGCTGTACCAATCCCCAACCCAAAAGCTATCATCAGGGGTGCCCTGGACATTGCATTGTTCTTCCCAGCATATGGGCTGCCGAGCGAGCAGCCTGAGCAAGTATGCCGGGCACTGTGGGGGCCAAGCGGGTTGAGCATCTGACAGGTCCCTGGAAGTGCTGAACACTCATCTCTGATTCTGGCCTAGGGCCTAAGATCGGGAAGTTGGTGTTGCCTTTTCTGAGCACACAACCCCCTATTTTCTAGCACTTCTACATCTGAAGCTTACTTCGCTGGGATGGCACCGGCTTAATGCAGAAAGCTTGGGTTGCAATGTTTTCAAGGCTAGGCTGTGGACGCATACAGCTTCTTTTGGGTTTTATCGAGGCGGGACTTTCGGTTTCAGGGTGTGAGGGGCTGAGGAGTTTCAGTGGAGTTTCGCAGCCGTGCCCCCGTGTGCCGCAGACAAATTGGTTTTCCGCCCAAAAGTGGCGATTCAGATCACCTTTTCTGGTGACTCCGCTTCTCTCTGCCAGTTCCCTGCCGCGCCCCTTGGCTTATGTTGTTTTTGATTGGATCACTGCTCAACCATAACATTCCAGGTGTCGGCATGTCTGTCAGCGAGTTCGGAACAAGGAATTTCACAGTTTTTACACACGCCTAGTTCCGAACTGTCTTTTGAGCCGTGTCTTTTGCGTTCCTGCACCCGCAACATCAGTCGTGCTGTATCATCCCCAAAGGCAGAGAGGCCCTGAAGCCAAAATTCCACAAGCCGCTCCACTCGCTCTCTGTTCTCTAGCACTCGCCAAAACCTAAGCCTCGCGTCCCATAAAGACCCAGAGGCCCGAAGCCGTAGAATCCGTGAGCACCTAAATCCGCGAGAGTTCTCGTGCACCCTACCGGCCCCGGCAAGACACAACAACCCGGTGTCTCCCAGGCCATGAGTGCCGCAGACGTTGCCGTGCTTGAGGGGGGCGAGCCGATCCTTCGTCTGGATTTAGGGCGTCTAGTACCAGTCTGGTTGAGGCTGCAAGCAGGACTCGCACTGCGAATTGAGACAGTCTTTTCACGGATTGGGGATCAATCTGGCGAAGTAGTAACGGTTTACACAGCGGTGTTTAGGCCAATGTAGGGTTTGTGTTTGAGTTTCCGATGCATAACTGACAAGGGCATCGCTCGAAATTCAAGCTTCATCCGTCTAACATCTAGAACACCTTTGTGCATAGGCTCATTTGTGATGAGCCCAAAGCCTCGGAACCAAATCTGCAGCCCACCGAGGTCTATGGCAAGGGTCGCCAGTCCCACCTCGGTAGCCGGGGCGGCCTGCGCCGGTGACAAGGTGGGCTTCTGATTTGTTTGGCACATGTACGAGTTTGGGAAACTCCGGTATTTCTGTTCTTGTTTTGGCTGGTTAGGCATAGTAGGGCTGTTGCTTTACAGAGCTTCGGAAAGACAGAGACCAGACTTGACGAGGGTTCAATGCCTTATGTGGCTTCGACTTGAAGGGATGTGGCAATCCAGGCTTAGACAGGACCAAACCTTGGCTTTGATGTCCTTTGCGAGACTGTTAGGACCGGATGGGTTAGTTGTTCAGATGTAGTTTTCGGAAACGTCAAAAGGGTGCAGATCTCTTAGAGCTCTTCGGGTGTTCATGTTCTCACATTTGTTGAAGGCGTTCTCGGCGATTTGCATTGAGAAGTTGAGTCAGGAAGGCTTGAACAGACGTAGTTCCGGTCAGCGCTAATATATGGTGTCAGATGCCGACAGCCCACGAAGTAAGTTTTTACCATGCAGGTCGCGCAAGGCGCTGTGACAACCACACGGCGCACGATGAAGATCGCAGGTGGGCTGCACGCAGAGCACCGGAGACAGAAAGGACGTGATTCTTCTGTGGGTAGGATGAATAGAAAATGGACCGGATAAGCCTGGAACTCTGCGACCCTTAAACGCCCTAGACGGTATACCGTTAACCCCAATTCCAACCAGGTAGTGCATTCCAGCAATTGGTAACTTAGTATGCTTCCCGTTCAGACCCTCAGTTTGTGGGCTCGAGCAATCCCTGTCCGAGCCCTTTATGCGGACTACACAAGACAAAGAAAGGGGAGAAGCGCCGACAGCCAAAGAAGCAGATGTTACATGTAGGAATGCTGCCCGAAACCCAAGTCCAGTGAACTCCTAACGAGAGCATTCCACCTGTCGTACATGGTCGTACTGAGAAGAGGCAACATAGCATTATTCCATCCCGTAGGGTTCCTTCTTACAGTATTCTGTAGTAACCCATCATCCCAAAAAACTGTTCTAAACCTTATGGCCCCTAACATTAATGTCGCATTAACAAGTAGTTGTAACTCTACTACAATGTACATTCTATTCATTAAGGCCCCTGAAGTAACTTTCTGTGCTTTGTCAGGTCTGGCCCATATCTAAAACGCCAAACCCCAAACCCTGATCCCCAAACCCCAAACCCTAAACTCCAACCCTAAACACGACATTGATTTGCTGTGCCTTTGTCAGGTCTTGCCCTCTTCGCTGGTCACAGACGGCGGGGCTTTAGGGTTTGAGCAGCCCTTCACCAAGATTAAGGGATTTAGGGGTTAGGGTTCAGGATTTTCAGGATTCAGGCTTTAAGGTGCAGAAGTGGACTCCTACAAGGCGAGCACGGGGAGACTCTGAGCTCATGAGCCATCAAAAAGCTTGAACGGCCTAAAGCGAGGATGTTGAATCGTTACTATTACTATGAGGCATATCAGACCCTTAGAACCAAACCACACACCTGTAGTACCCTTATACCCTTCTGGTAGGAACCCCCCTGGCAGATGATCGACAATCTCACGGCGAGCATCGTGTGCATCAAAATCCTGCAGCGGGTGGTGCCTCACAAGCAGGACGACCGAACTCCTAAGTCCTAACCCCAAGCCCTAAGCTGTGAAACCCTAGAGCCTTAAACGCTTGTGGCGCTACTAAACCCTCCCAAGTCGGTGAGCGCAGCAGTGAATACAGCGAATTCAGCTTTCTTCCACCTGCCCAACCCAGATCCCGATGGTCTACAAGGGGTTCTTGGAATGGAATCTTCTCCGAAAGCAACGGCGCAAGGCACTTCGACAACGATTGGTGTTGTTTGCCGCAACCTCGAGCCCGAAACTCATCTGCAGGAGATCGTATCAGATTCCACACGAGCTCTGAGCCCTTCATATCCTGAAACTGACCCTGAAACGTGATACAGGATGTCGAGACACCGAGAGGACTGGCGCCACAGCTGCGGAGGCACAGAGGGCAGGGCAGGGTTGACCATGGGAACACATCTTCTCGAATCTGCCCTAAACCCTAAACCCTATAACGCATGGTTTAGGGTTTAGCCTTCGGCCACTTCGCCCCACGATGTTGCCCCTGTAGCTTGGCACTTCTGCGAGCCATGTGGCTTCTAGGCTTTGCGAGGGAAGTGGATTCGGGTGCAGAAGTCCTGAGGGTTCCTCAAATCTAGCTGCATGTTTTGCATGCCCGCCTTACAGGGAACCCTTTTAGTACCCCGTTGAAGAAACCCTAAGAGCTGACGACAAGGCGTCGTCGCGGTGGCTGCAAACGCCGGAGGCGCCTGGAGTCCGCCACTCGCCTCCGTTTTTTGCTTCTGGCTCTTGGGGTTTTCTTGAAAGGGGTCTTTCAAGGGTTCTTATAAGGGTTACTGTTAAGGGTTCAATGATATATAGGGATCTTAGTGACAATAAGCTTCGTGAGCGGGTTCTCTTGAGGGTGCTTGAAAGAGTTGCGATAAAGGGGAGAGTGTGCTGTATCGATATAGGGACTCTGAGGGGCATCTCATTGTTTGCATCCCGCCGGAAACGGCCGCCCTTGCAAACCTCATGGTTCCTTGGATGCATTGAAGCCTGCAGGAGCGGGTGATGGCACGAAGGAGTCCAAGGGATTCGGCCTGTAATGCATGCCAAACCCTGAACCCTAAACCGCAGGTCGTTGCGGGGCTTCACTCTTGGATCAGATCCCGGGCCAGCATCCGATAGCTTTATGTCTTGGTCAGCCGAGTCTGAGGTGAGTAGAACCTCATACAGCCCAACGCTGCCCTGGAGCGACCGCGGGGGCCCCTCCTCTCTCGTCCCCCGCCTCAGGTGATGCAGGCGCAGCAGCCGTGGCTGAGAGCCTGCGAAGCTTCCGGCAGAATTGGGGGCACTCTGCGACCCAACGGGCAGCCATGCCCGGGCCTCGGGAGTGTCCGAAAGGACTCTCTTTTTAAGGGCGCAGTGGCTGCGGTGGTGCTATCTTAGAGTGGATCGTGCCCTCAAACTCGCAATTTGCGCTGGGGCAAATCAGCTATCCCCAGTTCTGGTGGGTATTCTGAGCCATCGGGCAACCTCAGAGTCATATTTCATTACTTTAGCTGCTCTCCTCTCTAGCCGCGCTCTTCCCGACGCCTCGCCCTTGTCAAAGCATCTTGGGCTTTCCCACACAAACCCCGGCCCAGGCTTGGAAGAGAAGGAGCAGCTCACGGAAACCGCCTTCGATGCGCTGCCGGAGGCCGCAAAGGAGCTCCTCCTTTTGCTGGTCCGAGGCCCGGGTGCTGCTGCTCTGAATTCCTTTTGATTCAAAGAGGGGCGTGGATGTGAGAAGTGGAGGCCCCCCGGTGATCCCACCTGTGCGGCTTCTGATTCTGAAGGAAGTCCGTCCTTCAGAGCTCCCCGTGATCCCATCTACGCGAGCTTAGAGTCATGCGAGCGATGCCCAAGAAGCCTCGTAGAGAGGTGCTGCTGCGCTGTACACAGAATCTCCCAACTTGGCGCTCCCCTGCTCTAGCCGAGCTCTTCCCGACTTCTTCGGTGCGCCGCTGGCGGGTGGGCGCGTTGGCCTTTGATCCGAGGCCCGGCCCGGAGTGGACGGTGTATGACGCTCTTTTGGGGGAGAGAGCTCGGGGCTTCCACTCCTGGCTAAACAGGCCCACGGGGTTTTCTGGTGGCCTTTTCCTGAGTGCTTCTGGGGGCTTGCCGACAAAGCAGAGGTCGCTGCGCGCCGTGCTGGAGTCCGAACATCAGCACTTGTCTGGAGTGTAGATCTCACCTTCTTCGAGCGCAGGCTCGGGCGTTCAAAAAGGGGCCACTGCTGTAGCATATATGCAATTGAAGGTTTTGGTGTTTCTCTTGGGTCCGTCGTGGTTTCGGACCTCGAGGACTGCGCTGATAATATGTTGTACTATGCCTACTTCATGTGATTTTCTGTTGCATTGTGCTGCGCTACTGTCTACCAAGGCAACGGTGAGAAGTTCCCAGAGCGGCTCCTCGAGGCGGCGGCCGGCGGCTGCAGCGGGCGCGATCCCATCGCGTAAGCAAAAAGGGCCTGCACCTTTCTCTTTCGGGCTGGGTGGGGCAGGAATGCCAATTTTGGGGCGATTTTCGGCTTACAAGCCACGTTGGAACCTGTGGGTGCGGCAACATCAGGTGGTTTATCGTTTGAGGTTGAGCGTTTGAGGCTTGGGGGGCTCTGTCAGTATCTTTGGTTGGCGATTGAAGATGTTCAGGATCTGCGAGTCGGATATTTGGGCTCCTCCACCGAAGCATCGCTGTCGTCCGATGCATTCACATGCTTCGCATGTCCGTCAAGTTTGACTCCGGCCACTGTCCCCTCTCACCTCCTCGAAGATGTTCTGATGTCCGGCTTCAACACAAGCCCGAAGCCTTCGCCTGCCCTCAATGGCTCCCTGAAGCGGAAGCTTTGCCTTCGCTCGCTGCTTCGGCTCCGTCCAGGAAGTGAGACCTGCCCAGGGCCCCGATGTGCACATGTTTTTTCAGTGTTCTCAACGAGCTTTCATCGGTGCTGGATGGCCTATAGATGTAGGAAGGTACAAAAAGTGCTAGCACTTAGTCACTTAGACGGAAGACTTCGTCTCAAGGTTGCCTGCTCAAGCACTTATGCTCAGCGGGGGAATCTACTCAGAAGCATCTCAGTTAGTAGAGTGCTTTAGCTCCCAAATTTATGGTTGCATGGTTGTGAATTGGCCGGGCAAAGGTTCCACTTTGAAAGCTCGCAGAGGCAAAGAACCTCTGCAGCTTTTGGGCGATGAAGCTCCTTTTCATCGCTCTGATGGAGGTCGTGGAGTGCCTCCTATTCCCGGACATCACAGGCCGAGGGCTGGTCGTTCTCCTGCCAAGTGCTTCCCGGCAAAAGCGCACAAACATCCTTCCGTTGGTTTGCCGCAGGATGGAACAACTTCACACTGGTCGAAGAGCCCTTCCTTCCAACGGTCAAAGAGATAGACGACATGGGCGCAGCCGAGACCGCCGCGAGGCTCCCGCGGGGTTTCGGATGGTTGCCAGGGGGAGTGAGTCGGCCTACGCATGGAGAGCGCATGCGCATCTGGGGTTCATGTCCGGGGTTTGGAGGCCCCAGGTTCGAGCTTAAGTTTGTGGTATTGGCCAACAGTATCAGCTGAGAAAGGCTGAAGCGGTAGGAACCACCCCCCCAAACAAGGGCTCACTTCAAGAGTCTTCAAGAATGAACCGAACCTGAAGGCAGCCTGTTACGTCGGAAGTGAAGATTCACGAGTTTGAATCGCATGCTCTCAGGTGGCACGTTTGGACGCTGATTATGCTTGGCATCGCCTTCGTTGTAACGGTCACTGGCACGCTAATCCTGAAATGCGCCGAACGGGAGCCACAGACAGATCCTGCACGACCAGGCGGGTTCGGGCTTGGATGGGCTAGTTCCTTTCAGTAGGTCTCCGACAAATGGCGATTGAATCTGGTTTCGGGTGTCGAGGTTCTAGCAATGTCGTGGTTCGATCCGGGATCAGGTGCATCTAGTCAGCCAGTTAGTTGGAGCCACAAGTTGCTTGCGAACTGTTGGGTGCAGCACCGAAGTCCCTTGGCAGTCAGGGCGCGTGACGTGTTTTCAAAACAATCATGCCAAATCGCAAGTGTGGCTTACATATCATATACCTCTGGTCTTCATATAACTCTGGTCGACCCTGCTATTGTATGGACGGAGGCAGGCGCACCGCAGCGAAACACGCGTACGTGTTTTCGGGAAGAGAGGGGGAGAGTGAGGCCACACAGTGGCTTTGAAAGCTTTGTGATGCTGCAGTCTTCTTTTCGTACTGGTTTGCATCGGATGGAAAACTGGGAGGCAACAGAAATCACCGTTGAAGCTTAGGAAGCCCCTCAAACTACTTCAGGCCATGCAACTCGTAGTGGTCATTGTATCAACTGGCACCTAGCGTTGAACGTTTGAGACTTGAGGCTTGCGACTGATTTGGCAAGGCGTCATGAAGACACTCCCAGTGTGGAGCCAGTTGGTTTCGGTGAGGCTTTGGTTTCTGGTTACGGCCCCAGCGTCCACCAAAAGGTCCATGCCAGCCTACTGCTCCCAACCTTAGACCTTGCACTGCGAATAGGAACAGATCTCCACCCCACCTCGTCTCGAGGCGGCGATTATGCTACCGTGAAGGTGGCCTCCCGTGTGGTCTCCCGTGCAGAAGAACCGGGCAGGACAATCGAGCCATCCACCCTGACTGTGTCCTTCAAGCCTCACACTCTCAAGGTGGGGCTCTGCATTGTGTAGTGCTTGCAGGGAGGATCGCACGTGGGCAGCCAGCTCTGACAATGCTTTTGCATCGGTTCTTGAATGTAGGGTCCTCTGTGTTCGTTAGGTCAGCATCAGTGTGTGTTTTTGGAACTTGCTCCTCTCGAGATTGTGTTGCCAAGGGGCAGCTTTTACCCTGTATTCTTGGAGGACCCATCGTTATGCTCTCGTGTGTCACTTGGCATTTCGTCGGCTGGTATCTGCTATCAGCCGGGGCATTGTTCCATGCAGTCACTCTCCGCCCTCGCTGTGAAGAAACCCCAGGCTCGAGGCTCCTGGCTCCTCGCATGCAGGTCCTCCTTGCGATGTCTTTGACCTTCACCTTCTCCACAAGCTTCGCCGCCATGTTCTGGAGCAGCCGCACCGGAAGGTGCGAGCTGCCCGTCTTCTGACCAGTGGTTCTCTTGCCATATTCTTGCAATGGATATACTTAGAACTTAGAGCCCTTTCGTGCGTCACACCTTCGCTGGTTTTTTCACAACTCGAAGTGTTGCACGAGCCGCCTTTTTCGAGAAAGGCATCCCCAAAACATCTTCAAGAGACCAGTCTCAACACCGCTTGTTTCCAGTCCGAAACCAATCCGAATACACTCCGGTTGCGGAAACTTTCCATCCCGAGCGAGCTGGGAGGTTGTCGAAGACCTACGGTGCTGATTGGGAGGCCAGCTGGCCTGATTGCGATCGGTCGGGTCTTGCATATCCTGTTGCATCCGAGCCCAGACTGTCAGTACTCTCTAGGACTTCACGAAACCAAGTTTCACCGAGCGCCTCGAAAGTACAACAGTTGCCAGGGTTTAATGGAAGGGTGCTTACACAGCCTAGCGCATCTTCCACTGGATCCCTGTTGCCGTTCGGCTGTCAGGCATCAACTTTAAAACTTTGCTTTTCGGTAAGTTTTCAAGCTTTCGCGCTTCAGCAGCTTCTGGGCTTCCGCCGCAAAGCCTTCTGATGAAGAGAGAAGCAGCTCGGGGGGCGCCTTTTCAGGGTCTTGAATAGTTTAGGGTTCCTTGAAAAGTGCTGGGTC